CTGGCTGTTTACTTACAAGTTTGAAATATGAGAGACTTGTTCAGAAAGATTTGGAGAGCATGGATTGACGTCTGGTCCCTCTTAGTCCCAAGAGCGAACAACCACCAAAACAAAGAGCACGAACAAAAGCCTTCCCCCCACCAAGATTTGAAAGTATCTTTTCCCCTTATTGGTTCTTTGGATCAGGTGTCAGCCAGGTTACCTGAGCTTCTTAACCCTTTACAGGTAAAAGGATTTTGGAGTCTCTGGCCAGGAGGAATTTTATAGTATTGTACACAGGAGGGCTGCTACCCTTCCCTTTATAGTTATGACAGGTGCCCTAAAACAGACCGTGAATATCCAGGGAACATAGTGGACCATACAGATAAGCCTGGCTTTACAGACTGTGCCAGTGTAACATTAGTGTTCATTAAATATGGTTAACCACAAAAAGTCAGGGAAAAGGAAGAATGCAATAGGCAGTAGGGAAGTGTTGGTTTCTTTAGATGACCTTTATAAAATGTTTCATCTTGTATCCCTGCCTGATACTGACGGGAGGAGCTTCTCTAAGACTTGAGCACTCAGCATCTTGCAGGATCAAACCCTTTGTTTGCCGAGCTCTTGAAATCCTGGAAAAAGCCACATCTAAGAGCCCATCAAGGGGCCTCAGTTTAAGGGTTAAAGATCCCCTGGCCTTTACACAAGAATTGGGGATGTTAGCCCCAGTGTCCTGGCCAAATTCCAGTTTGGGTAATTACATTCGCTACCTAAAATTCCCCCTGTGGTTTCAGTTTGGTGGGGTGTTCTTTATGTCCTGTCCAGATGTGGCGTGTAGGATTGCTGCCTGCTGTTCTGTAGTGAGATAGCTGCCATGCTTTTTCCCAAGAGATGGCTGCATTTTGGAGGAGAGTGAAGAGATTAGCCATTTGCCTCTCTTGCAGGGGAAGCATTGGTGTATAATCATCCCATTACATTTCAGGTGTGGGGAGAGACTGTAGCTTCTGACCCTATTTCTTCCCCCATGGTCCAGGTGGGCCACCCATAGTTCAGAAGTGGTGTTGATTCCCTGGCAGTGTGTGGATGCTACTGTAAATACAAAGATGGGTCCAAATGTGGAGCACATTTAACAAGTTACAGCAGCTGCATGCTCTCTTGTGTTTAAATGGCTGCCGTGGTTTTCCTTACAGATGGTGCATTCCTTGCTAGGGAGAAGGCAAAAGCTGACGCCGAATGCTACACTGCCATGAAGATAGCAGAAGCTAACAAGGTATTTATTGGTACTTTGTCATGGACCAGGTCCCATTGTGCTAGGCATGGTACAAACAGAACAAGAAGATGGTCCATGTGTCGAAGAGCTTATAGTTGGTTTAAAAAAAAAAAAAGCCAGCTGTGATGATGACTCCCTGCTACATGTACAAAATGAATGTAGTTACTGAAAATCAGGCCAGACTGATGTGGGCTCTCTTTGAACAGTGTTCACATTAGTATTTTGGTGGCATTCGCTCTGGAGGACTGTTAATCATGAGACTAAAATGGCACTTTGTCCAGGATGGGCAGGAATGGTGTCCCTAGCCCCGTTTTCCAGAAGCTGGGAATGAGCAACGGGATGGATCACTTGATGATTACCTGTTCTATTCATTCCCGCTGGGGCACCTGGTACTGGCCACTGTTGGAAGACCGGATACTGGTCTAGATGGACCTTTGGTCTGACCCAGTATGGCCGTTCTTATGTTCTGTAAATATGAATCTGTCCAGAGGAAGCCTAAATGTGCTGGCTTGTGGTGTGTGGAGGCCGCTCTGTTAAATGCTTCTGGGACCAAGGCTCCCTCTCTAGAGAAAGCTGGAGCTGCAGCACTTCTATGTGATGCTAGCTCTGCTACAGCCAGAAAGTTTTAACTAATGCTTTGTGTGCCACCTGGCAAACTTCTTGCACAAATGGAGCAGGCCTCTAGGGGATGCTTGTTATGAGAAAATGTGATTACAGGCCAGATCAGAATCATGCTGCTATTATGCATGGAATTCATCAATCCAGTGGAGCCGTGAACCTGTTGGGGAGCAGCAGGTGGGAGGATAAGAAGTCAAATGGACAAAACTCTCGGGTGTAGAGTTAGAGGGATCACTGCCAACAGCAAATACCAGAAGGGAACATTGTTTTTGCTGGTGTTTCTTTAAATAGAAAAAAGATGGGTATTCATGTCTTCAGGTGTCTGCCAGGTACACTAGTGCTCTGGAAAAATGGTACCCTATATGATCACAACAAAAGTTTGTTAGTAAATCTGGATGGCTGTTGATGTTCTGTTTTCTCTTCATGCAGCTAAAACTAACTCCTGAGTACTTGCAGCTGATGAAATACAAAGCTATTGCATCAAACAGCAAAATCTATTTTGGCAAAGATATTCCCAACATGTTCATGGACCACACGGGGAGCAAGCCTGCAGAGGGACTGGTGGAAGAGATGAGAGGAGAGAATTGGGCCGCTGCCGCTGAGGATTTGTGAAACCATTTTATAACACCTAATGACCTTTCAAAATTTCTGTTTATTTTTTAACAGATGAAACAAACTGAGAAGTTGGTTTCCCCTTTTGATTTTTTCACTGTTCTGTGCTGAAGCAGATGAGCCAGACTTAACCCTCTCAACCTTTTGTCTAGAAATCAGTTTAGACACAAATACTTTGATATTCACAGGCCATTTTTTGGTTACTTCTCAAGAGCCAGGTTCAGCTCTGCACCGTATCTTGACTCCTCCCTTTTGGAGGCCTGGTTATTCTGGAGCAGGGGGAGAATCCGGCAGATTTCCAGCAGGATGATTTGTTGTATGGTTAGGTTGATTAAATGAAACTTTGTGTTCTGCATGAGCAGTTATAGCAATTGGGATAGGGGAGGCAATGCCCTTCTTTGCTGCTGGAAGCTGTCGTTGCTTTTGTTGGAGATTTACATTACTTTTTTTTTTTGGAGCCCTATGAAAGAGACAAAGGTGCTAGTATTTCTGTACACTACATATTCCAGCTTAAGCAAGGCAGGACGGATGTGGTGGCAGAGCTTGTTAATTTCCCATGTCCTGAGATCAGTATTTTTGCATTGTCCATATTTTGTAGAGGATAAGGAGGTTCTAAATTCTGTAATTCTCTTTCTAGAAAATTATCTGTAAAAGTGGTACAACCGGGTCAGGGTTGAGGTGCTCTGGTGGGGGCAGTGTGACTATACTCTGTTCCTGTTCTCTGGCTAAATGGGACATCAGTCTCCCAAGATGCCAACATATGGTACCTTTCACAAACATCAAATTGACTTTTAGGAAAAGTAGCTTACAAAAACGATGAATCACTCAGACCCCTGTCTTGCAAACACTTTTGCAGGTGAGTAACTGTGCTCAAGTGAATGGTCTCATTGACTTATCATCTCCATAAGTGTTTGTAGGATTGGGGCCTACGTTTGAAATAGCCCAGCATGGTTCAGTGGCTGCCATACATTATCAGGAAGAGAATGTTCAGACAAGTTGAAGTGAATGGCTAATTTAAACCTCATGTAGGCATTTTGATTCACGTTTAGCAGGGGCATACAAAACACAGTATTGTATAGTCACAGGGAGAGACAGGTGCCCCGTTGTCTTTAGACAATTCAGAGAGCACAATTTCTCCTTCTCCCTCCTTCCCTCCCCCCCC